TGACTAACACGCAATCCGTAAGGACATCGCCAATGCTCAATCTACCTCCCCACCTAGCCTCCCTCCCAATATAACCCCCGCAACTCTCCCCTCCTCTGACCTCGCAATCACCCTGACCACACCTAACATCCCGCACACTAAAGCCTCCCCAACATTCCACTCCTTCATCCCTGCTACCACCGAAGAGGTCACTAAGGTCTTCACAGAAGCCCGCCTCACCACTTGCCCCCTTGACCCTGTCCCCACACAATTTCTCTGGTCACCCTCCTCCTCCATCCTACGCTCCCTCACCCACATCTTCAATCTCCCTCTCTACTGGCGCATTCCCCTCCCCCCTAAAGCACGCACACATCACCCCCATACTCAAAAAACCCTCCCTGAACCCCTCCAACCTGAGCAACCTTAGACCCATCTCCCTGCTGCCATTTACATCCAAGGTCCTTGAGCGCTTGGTCTACAATCGCCTAAGATCCCACCTCAACAACAACAACCTCCTCGATCCACTACAGTCTGGCTTCCGTCCCCTACACTCCACCGAAACCGCCCTACTCAAAATCACTAATGACTGCTAACGGCCAAAGTTAATGGCCACTACTCAGTCCTCCTATTCCTCGACCTCTCCGTGTGCCTTTGACACAGTTGACCACCCCCTCCTCCTTAATAAACTACACTCCCTCGGCATCAGAGACTCCGCTCTCTCCTGGCTCTTCTCCTATCTATCCCAACGCTCCTTCAGTGTTACCTATAACGCTACCACCTCCCCCTCTCTCCCCCCCTCTCTGTTGGGGTCCCCCAAGGCTCTGTCCTTGGGCCCCTTCTCTTCTCCATCTACACCTCCTCCCTTGCCAACTGATACACTCCCACGGCTTCAACTACCACCTCTACGCCGATGACACACAAATCTACCTCTCCACCCCTCACCTCACCCCCTCAGTCTCCACCTGTATCACCCACCTACTGAACGACATTTCAGACTGGATGTCGCTCCACTTCCTCAAATTAAACCTTTCCAAAACCGAGCTCCTACTTTTCACCCCAGCCCGCACCCCCACCCCCACCCTCTCCATCACGACCAACAACGCCACCATCAGTCCCACCCCGCAAGCCAAAGTCCTAGGTGTCACTCTAGACTCAAACCTGTCCTTCCAACCCCATGTCCAGTCGCTGGCAAACTCATGCAGGCTCCACCTCCGCAACATCTCCAAACTACGCTCGTTCCAAACCCCAGACACTACCAAACAACTCATACACTCCCTTATTATCTCATGACTCGACTATTGCAACACCCTTCTCACCGACCTACCCCAACACAGGCTATCCCCGATTCAGTCTATCCTGAACTCAGCAGCCAGACTCATCCACCTTACCAACCGCTCCGCATCTGCCACCCCCCTCTGTCATTCCCTCCACTGGCTCCCGATTGCCCAACGCATTAAATTCAAAATACTAACATTGACGTACAAAGTCATTCATAACACTGCTCTGAACTTCCTCACCGAACTGATACCCAAATACCACCCAACCCGTAATCTTCGCTCCTCACAAGACCTCCTACTTTACTAGGTCCCTGGTCTCCTCCTCCCATGCCCGACTGCAGGACTTCTCCAGGACTTCCCCCATCCTCTGGAACTCACTACCCCAATCCATCAGACTGTCACCTACCCTTCTCACCTTTAGGCGCACCCTGAAAACCCATCTCTTCAGGGAAGCCTACCCCACCACCACCTAACAGCCGATCTCCTCCACTCCTCCTACCACTCCATCCCCCACAGCCACTTCCTCCTGTGCCACTATCCCCTCCCTCCTAGATTGTAAGCTCGAAAGAGCAGGACCCTCAAACCCCTCGTATACTGTTTTGTTACTGTATTGTCACATGTACTGTCCCCCACTACTCTGTACAGCTCTGAGCAAACTTTCTGGCGCTATATAAATACTGTATAATAATAATAATATAATAATGCCTGCAGTTTGACTTTAAGGCTCCATGTACATGGGACGTTTGGAAAAAACTTCTGAATGATGGAAACTAACTGCTGGAAAACGTAGGTTAAAAGCCGTCTGTTTAGCCGCGTTTGCATACCGCATTTTGTTTAGAAGCGTTTTTTAAAGATAACATCAGGAGACCTTCCAAAATGCCAGAATGCACTGACAAATACTAAAAAAATTAACTATTTCAGACATTTTAAAGAAAAAGAGAGCAGAAGCAGAGAGAGCAGTATGTGTTGAGATGACCTGTCTTTTCTGGTTGTGTTCACTATGGATCCTATCATGATCATAATGCGGCACGTTCTACCATTGTTTCCTTCACGCAAAACCTGGAACTGACTGAGCTGGTGTACCGGGTCCATTTTAACACATGGAAAACGCTTTGCGTGCATTTCTGATGATGAAATAAGCTCTGGACAGCATCTGGTTATGGAACAGTTAAAAACGCTTCTAAACGCAAGCGCTTCTAAACGCGGTTAGCCTCGTTTATAAGCATTTGGCGTTTGAAACGCTGGTAAAATCTGCTCCTGAATGCAAGTTTGGTGCATTCAAAAAAATTACTGCAAACTCAACTGCCTGTAAATGACTGTAATCAACTATGTGTACACGGACACATAGGAAAACATTAGGGAGAGTTCAGGGGCTGCTGAGAAAAATGCAGAAAAGCTCCTGAACGTCAGTTTATCAGCTGCAGTGTACATGAACCCTAATGCAGGCCATAGATGGGTCAAAAATCGGCCGAGCCGAAAATAAAATCGGCCGATTTTCGGATCGTTAGTGGGTTATTTGATCGGCCGTTTTTTTTTTTTGATTTTGGCAGATTTTTTTTATCGGTAAAGTTGGAAAAAAATCGGCCGATTTTCGCGGCAATAATGGGCAAATCGGCCGATTTTTTACCGATAAAAAATCTGCGCATGAGCAGTGACCTGCAAGAGGAAGACAAAAAGAAGAAAAGAAGAAGAGGATGAAGAAAGAAGAAGAGGATGATGATGATGATGAAGAAGAAGAAGATGATGATGAAGAAGAAGGATGATGATGAAGAAGAAGAAGAAGATGATGATGATGAAGAAGAGGATGATGATGAAGAAGAAGAGGATGATGATGATGATGAAGAAGAAGAGGATGATGATGAAGAAAAAGAAGAAGAGGATGATGATGAAGAAGAAGAGGATGATGATGATGTAAAAGAAGAAGAAGAGGATGATGATGAAGAAAAAGAAGAAGAAGAGGATGATGATGAAGAAGAAGAAGAGGATGATGATGATGAAGAAGAAGAGGATGATGATGATGAAGAGGAAGAAGATGATGAAGAAGAAGAGGATGATGATGATGAAGAAGAAAGTAGAAGAAGATGATGATGATGAAGAAAAAGAAGAAGAGGATGATGATGAAGAAGAAGAGGATGATGATGATGATGAAGAAGAAGAGGATGATGATGAAGAAGAAGAAGAATGAAAAATAAGAGGAATTCCAGCCTGGCAAAAAGTGTCCCTGCAGAGAGCTCTGCTATTTCTTTGACAGTTCCTTGACATTTACAGCGGTTGCAACAATGTATCTGTTTGTTTCCGAATAAAAACATCTGTATCCTAAATGGATACAAATAGATACATTGTTGCAACCTCTGTAAATGTCAAGGAACTGTCAAAGAACTGTCAAAGAAATAGCAGAGCTCTTTGCAGGGACACTTTTTGCCAGCTGTAGACGGGATGAAAATCGGCCGATTTTTTTTGCCATTGCTGGTAACGTCGGCCGCTTGAACGACCGATTTTTCGTTTTTTTAAAGAAAAATCGGCCGTTTTTCTCCCCGTCTATGGCCTGCATAAGAATGTTACCGTATGCATTTTCATGCTGTAACTGCAGGTCCAAAAGCATAGTATTTATATAAAATTCTGATACCTGCACAGTGCCCCCTAACTGTCACTTCTCCAATAACACGTGCGTAGATTAGAGAAAATCTGCAGAGAAACTCAGGCTAATTCCAGCCAAGCGTTGTGACAGGTGTACCCCAGGGTCCACTGATAACACCAACTCAAATCCGCTGTATCAGTCAGCTGCAATCAAGACACTTGACAATCCCTGCTTACTATAAATCTGAGATGGACAAGACAAGTGTAGAGAGAATTTGTATGAAGTCACTGAATATTCACAGCCAATTCTCAGTGTTTTCATGTAATCTCCTTCTTGATTATTGTTGCATGGCTCTCTTTACCCATTGCTGAAGGGAGGGCCACACACATGCAACTGATTATATACACTTATATTCCTTGCATTTTGGGGATTTATGGTCACATAGTTGCATAGTTATGCAGGCCATAGACGGGTCGAACATCGGCCGATTTAAAAAAGAAAAAAATTGAAAAATCGGTCGTTGGATCGGCCGACGTTACCACCAACATTAAAAAAATCGGACGGTTTTTGACCCATCTATGGCCGGCATTAACCCCATAACTTCTGTCCCTTGCAGAGACAGGGGAGCACACCATACAATGTGATAGCAATACAAATACATTATTTGGATTACAATGTTTTTATTTGGATACAGATGTTTTTATCTGGATACAAATGGATACATTTGTTGCAACCGCAATACTTTTTCATATAAAATATAATAGCGGTCTTCTTCTTCTTCTACTTATTATTATTATTCCTTGCAGGTCACGGCTCATGCGCAGATTTTATATCGGTAAAACGATCGGCCGATTTGCCCATCATTGCCGGGAAAAATCGGCCGATCTTCAAAATCGTCTGCGAATATTCCAACATGACCAATAAAAAAAAATGTGCAAAAACCCCCAAAAACAGCCAACCAATTAACCCACTAACGGTGCGGAAATCGGCTGATTTTTTTTTATCGCCCGGAAAATCGGCCGATTTTCGACCCATCTATGGCCAGCATTAGGATGTAAAAAGACAAGTTCAATCAATAGAAAATATTTAATAAATAAACCCTATGCACACAGTTGATCCAGAGGAAGGTCCGAATAAAGCACAGTCCAATTCACTCCCAACAGCGGAAAAAAATTCCTTCTTGATCCCTGAATGCAATTAACGTATTTTTCGCTCCATAAGAAACACCTAGGTTTTAGAGGAGGAAAACCAGAAAAAAAAAATTCTGAACCAATGGACTGCAGACATAGTGCAGGAAATGACCAGAGACTGCGGATGTACTACAGGAGATGACCAGAGACTGTGGACGTAGTACAGGAGATGACCAGAGACTGCGGACACAGTACAGGAGATGACCAGAGACTGCGGACAGTACAGGAGATGACCAGAGACTGCGGACACAGTACAGGAGATGACCAGAGACTGCGGACACAGTACAGGAGATGACCAGAGACTGCGAACAGTACAGAAGATGACCAGAGACTGCGGACACAGTACAGGAGATGACCAGAGACTGCGGACACAGTACAGGAGATGACCAGAGACTGCGGACACAGTACAGGAGATGACCAGAGACTGCGGACACAGTACAGGAGATGACCAGAGACTGCAGACATAGTACAGGAGATGACCAGAGACTGCGGACACAGTACAGGAGATGACCAGAGACTGCGGACACAGTACAGGAGATGACCAGAGACTGCGGACACAGTACAGGAGATGACCAGAGACTGCGGACACAGTACAGGAGATGACCAGAGACTGCGGACACAGTACAGGAGATGACCAGAGACTGCGGACATAGTACAGGAGATGACCAGAGACTGCAGACATAGTACAGGAGATGACCAGAGACTGCGGACACAGTACAGGAGATGACCAGAGACTGCGGACACAGTACAGGAGATGACCAGAGACTGCGGACACAGTACAGGAGATGACCAGAGACTGCAGACATAGTACAGGAGATGACCAGAGACTGCAGAATTAGAAGAGGAGATGACCAAAAACTGCAGACCTTTGGGGGGCGGGGACATTCACAAAGTGCCGCGCTTCTGGCGCATGTGCAGTGGCCCCCGGATGTGAAGCCACAAGCTGTCACAGCCAGCTACCCACACTAAAGATGATGAGGACACTGCTGGACAGAGGAACAGGTAGGACCGAGGAGCAGGTTCTGCTGCACAGAAGAGCCGAGCGGACTGCCCAGTATTCTAATATGACATAAAAATGGGGTGTGCAGCGCTATACAAATAAAACACACTGTCATAAGTATGACAAAATATGACAAAAAAGTCCTATAAACTGGATAATATACAGTCCAAGGTAATGTGATATCAGTCCAAAAAGGTATATTCCAGTGGTGGAGTGTAAATGACTTCAATCCAAATGGGTATATTCCAACATCATGACATGAAGGTGTAGAAAAATTGCCCACTCACCGGAAGTGCAATTTAATGTGCACATAGAAATTCCATGAAGCCGGAAGTCCCGTGAAGGTACAGCCTGATGGTGAAGGTGCCCTCTGGTGGTAAATGGGGTAACGGCTGCCAGAGATGATGACCTGGACCTATATCCCAACTTCTCCTGCCTGGGTGGACTCCTGGAATGCTGGGCTGAGATGTGAGGGCTCAGTGCCAGGTAATAGAGATGGAAATACTCATGGTGTAGTATTATGAAGTATATTTATTAAGTAAAGATCATCATGATAAAATAAAATAGAACACGTACAGGGTTAAAGTACCTATATAGATATAATGTGAAATGAGCTCTTTGAATACACTGACCAGTGGGTAAAAAAGTGATGGCCACCGGACCTCCTGATCCGGTGGCGTAACGTCAAGGCGTGCAGAGGCTCCTCCTAGACGCGCTTCGTGTAATAACACGTCTCCTGTAGGGGTGATGCCATGCCTGCCTGACGTTTCCTTGCTCCTATTTATATGAAAAAATCGCGCCAAAAGTGTCCAGGCGCCGTTTTGCCGTTTTTTTCGGCCCATTGCGCATGCGCGGCGGGCGCCATTTTGCCGGCCATTCGGCCTAATGCGCATGCGCGGGCGTGCCATGTTATTGGTGATATTGAAATCATTCTAAAATGGTCGGCAAACGGTACACTGCGCATGCGCGAGAGTTCCGGCGGCCATTCTATTGGTTTGAAAGCATGCCACATTCGGCCTAATGCCGGCCATTCGGCATTAGGCCGAATGGCCGGCAAAATGGCGCCCGCGCATGCGCAATGGGCCGAAAAACGGCAAAACGGCGCCTGGACACTTTTGGCGCGATTTTTTCATATAAATAGGAGCAAGGAAACGTCAGGCAGGCATGGCATCACCCCTACAGGAGACGTGTTATTACACGAAGCGCGTCTAGGAGGAGCCTCTGCACGCCTTGACGTTACGCCACCGGATCAGGAGGTCCGGTGGCCATCACTTTTTACCCACTGGTCAGTGTATTCAAAGAGCTCATTTCACATTATATCTATATAGGTACTTTAACCCTGTACGTGTTCTATTTTATTTTATCATGATGATCTTTACTTAATAAATATACTTCATAATACTACACCATGAGTATTTCCATCTCTATTACCTGGCACTGAGCCCTCACATCTCAGCCCAGCATTCCAGGAGTCCACCCAGGCAGGAGAAGTTGGGATATAGGTCCAGGTCATCATCTCTGGCAGCCGTTACCCCATTTACCACCAGAGGGCACCTTCACCATCAGGCTGTACCTTCACGGGACTTCCGGCTTCATGGAATTTCTATGTGCACATTAAATTGCACTTCCGGTGAGTGGGCAATTTTTCTACACCTTCATGTCATGATGTTGGAATATACCCATTTGGATTGAAGTCATTTACACTCCACCACTGGAATATACCTTTTTGGACTGATATCACATTACCTTGGACTGTATATTATCCAGTTTATAGGACTTTTTTGTCATATTTTGTCATACTTATGACAGTGTGTTTTATTTGTATAGCGCTGCACACCCCATTTTTATGTCATACTCTTAGAAAGGCTTTTGTGGTTCCTTTTTGTGCATTAGCGGCTTTACTTGGTGCGCTCGCTAACTTATACATTTACACTCTATAGTATTCTAATATGGCGGCGACGGGGGGGAATACTGGGCCGGCCGCTCCATATTTGCCCCATAAGACGCACAGGCATTTCCCCCATTTTTTTGGGGAAAAAGTGCGTCTTATGGAGCGAAAAATACGGTAAATATGCCCTGGATCAACACTCTCTAGTGCTATAAGCAATAAATGGTAACATACAGATAATATGTACATTTAGGAATGCATACATTTTTTCAATAATTGATCTGGCTAGAACTTGTTCTTGAAGGAGTCTATTCCCCATTTTCACAGCTCTTACTATGAAGAAGCCTTTCTGTATGTCAAAGTTAAATCTCTTTTCCTCCTGATGCAAAGAGTAACCTTTTGTTCTTTTTAATGACCTTAAAGTGATGGAGATTTATAAATATATTAAAGATTGCAGATACTGATCTTGTATAAAGGTAGTATTAATATTTCTAACAATATATTACACTTCCCTGTAAGTAATTTGAATGTGAAAAAAGCAACCAATAATTGTTCAAAGAGCACCAAACAGGAAAGGAGTTTTAGGACTGACCCCGATCACAGTCTTAAAGTGTTACTAAACCCACAACAGTAAAATCAGTCTGTATATGCAGTAAAGCATGCTTGTTATACTCACTGTGGAACATAAGGGGTTAATCCTCTACATTGTGTAAAAATGCTGTTTGATCCTGTCTTCTTTGCTCCTCCTCTTGTTCAACTGTCCACATCTTATCTCCTGATAAGACAGACTAAATCGTAGCCATTCTGCACATGCTCAGTTTAGTGGGTATTTCTAGAGGTTTTTTTTTTTTTCTTGGGAGAGTGCATGTGATCAGCCCAGGGTCAATCAGCACTGTCCAGACAGGTCAGGGGTTCTACATCCCCCTAGAGAAAACTCCTACAAGCTTTAACCAGTGCTCTGCTGGACACTGATAGAAGTCACAAGACTGCTCTAACGAGAAAAGGTATTTAGCAGTTTATACTTAGTAAAATAATTACACTTCCATGTTCTGTGTACTGTGGGAGACCAGATATAGTGAATGCAGGGTCCTGGGAGACCAGATATAGTGAATGCAGGGTCCTGGGAGACCAGATATAGTGAATGCAGGGTCCGGGGAGACCAGATATAGTGAATGCAGGGTCCGGGGAGACCAGATATAGTGAATGCAGGTTTCGGGGAGACCAGATATAGTGAATGCAAGGTCCATGGAGACCAGATATAGTGAATGCAGGGTTTGGGGAGACCAGATATAGTGAATGCGGGGTCCTGGGAGACCACATATAGTGAATGCGTGGTCCTAGGAGACCAGATATAGTGAATGCAGGGTCCAGGGAGACCAGATATAGTGAATGCAGGTTCCTGGGAGACCAGATATAGTGAATGCAGGGTCCTGGGAGACCAGATATAGTAAATGCAGGGTCAGGGGAGACCAGATATAGTGAATGCAGGGTCCGGGGAGACCAGATATAGTGAATGCAGGGTCCGGGGAGACCAGATATAGTGAATGCAGGGTCCGGGGAGACCAGATATAGTGGATGCAGGGTCCGGGGAGACCAGATATAGTGAATGCAGGGTCCGGGGAGACCAGATATAGTGAATGCAGGGTTCGGGGAGGCCAGATATAGTGAATGCAGGGTCCGGGGAGATCAGATATAGTGGATGCAGGGTCCGGGGAGACCAGATATAATGAATGCAGGGTCCGGGGAGATCAGATATATAGTGAATGCATGGTCCGGGGAGACCAGATATAGTGAATGCAGGGTCCTGGGAGACCAGATATAGTGAATGCGGGGTCCGGGGAGATCAGATATAGTGGATGCGGGGTCCGGGGAGATCAGATATAGTGGATGCAGGGTTCGGGGAGGCCAGATATAGTGAATGCAGGGTCACTTTAAGCTCCTCTAAAAGGCGATTGTGAATGGTTCATTATAAAAAAAAAAAATAATAATCCTTATGGTTGCATGGAGATAAGGTAGGGACAGTCAGGCTAATATTATTAATTAGTTACTTTTTACTAATAAAGACTATGGTACCAACTCATAGCTTTTTTGTATACATTTGGATTTTTTAATATGAAGTAAAACAGTCCAACATACCAGCAAATCTTTTTTTTATAGCATCAATAATTATTTTTTAGGTACTAAATTAATAAAAAGTATCAGTTTTAGGCCAGAATACATGTGTTAGTCTTAAAACACAAGTTTTCTATCCTTGTTTATGAATTAAATGTATAGTAATTTGTTTTTGTGTTACAGAACCAATATAGAGTGTATTTAAAGAGAACATGTATAATATAGGACTCCAGATTAAAATCTAACAAATGTCATCACACATAAAGAAATATTTAACTAAATGTTTTTGTTTTTGAAGAAAGAAAATGTGTGAATAAAAAGGAGAATAAAATTCCAAAAGTGTAATACAAATATTTCTAAATAATAATATTGACTATAATATTGCAACTGAATTATGAAAAAGGAAAAGTAAATGAAAAAGAACTCTTCAGCTTATCCTTTAAAGGTTTTAGTTAACAGCTTGTTTTAAAGAACCAACCAAACCAACATTTGTTTAATTAATATTTCAGTGTGAATGGGTTTTTCTTTAACCACAAAGTTCTGTTAAGAAAAGCAATATATTTTAACATATTTTCTCACATTGCAAATAATGTTTCAGTTAGGAGGTTGTCATTTATAAAAGGAAAAATGTTTTGGGCTTGAGACCAGGAAACACCAGCAATGTATAGGGGAACTTAGAAAGAAATAACTTTTTTAATGCATAAAAATTAGTACTTGTAGTAACTGCACATACTGTAGTTGGATCACTGGGGCAAATGAAAAATTTCTGGGTGAAATACTTCTTTTGTAAATCGTGCTCAAATGTATTTTAGGTTCAGGTTATGTCAGACTGAGATATTTCCAACTCTTATGTTCACTTATTTATTTATTTCCGGTACTTATATAGCACCATCAATTTTTGCAGCACTTTACATACATATATATTGTACATTCGCATCAGTCCCTAACCATCAAGGGGTATACAATCTAAAGTCCCTAACTTACATTCATACATACA